GTTAAACATGAGGAAGTGCAATAAAGCCTATTTACCTTGTAGGGGGAGAAAACAAGTCCAACAGCAAAGAATTATTATATGAAAAAAAAGAAAAAAAAGAATCTGAGCCTCTCTGCAGCCTCATAAAAAACTTGCAGATAGCCTGTGATTCTGCAGGGGCAGATATCCTCTCTCCTGTGCACTGTCTAATCAGAGCCCTTTTGGACTTAAGTGAAATAATAATAATAAAAAAGCAAATGGAGTGCAATTTCCATGGAAACTTGGAAACAGATGTAACATTATTTGCAGTCAGCCTTTGTACCGTGAATGGAAAATTTTCTAGTTTACACAAATCTCGGCTATTATTTTCTTTGCAGTGCAAACTTGGGCCAAATATTTTCTGTCATATTAGAGATGCAAATAGTTTTACTTTCTGTCCAGTACAACCATGCACAAAAGCTTCAGAAGCTGCAGTAAAATGCCTGATATTTATCTTTCCATGAACCCAAAACAGATATTAGAAAAAAAAGAGTAATTTGAGCTTCCTTTTTGCTTGTTCTCTTCAGAAAGTGAAAACAGCTTAGAAAACATCTCTTGTTCACATGTTATATTACAGACTAGTAGACAGCAGATGTGCCCAATGTTAATGGGAGCTTAACTAACTCTTAATATTAGATCAATTAGACACCAACTCCTGGTTTTCCATATACCATGAGAAAGAGCTTTCTAGCTCAGGAGCATGTATTCACAGATTACTTACTTACCGATAAGCTTTCTCAGCTCTGAGTAAAGTCACCACAAAGTACACTTCCAAGTCCAAAACCATGGCAATGACTTGTGACCTGATAACTGGGTTTGGAGACTAGAGCACCTTCATCTCACTATGTTCTCAAGACCAGATAGAACAACAACCAAGAAAACGCCACATCAAAGAACAGCACCCAAAGCAGCTCTTACGTTAACATTTTTTCTCTTCACATTGCTACTAAAGCATTCTTTTCTGCATATTCTAAAAGAGAAGCTAAGAGAAACCATCTCTGTGTTTTATGATAATGCAGGACTCGCTTTTTACTTGCTTACAAGCTCTCCTCTTGCCAAGCTGAACCTTCTCTTTGCCACACGTCTCAAGTGCAAATCAGTTACTCAGACTTGTTCTTCTCAAGATGGAGGGAGTTCTGCCCTGCTCTGCAAGTACTCATGTCCTTTAAGTGGATCATTTGCCCATACATTACCTGAGCAATTTAAACTTTAAGCTAAATCCGGCAGCGAAGTCTAACACATGCCTAAAGAACAACAGAACTTTTGGTGAAAATGGATGTCCCTTTTTGTTTGCAGTGCAGCCAAATGCTTTATAAATTAGATCCTTCTGCCACCACAGAAATGTCCAGCATCTGACATGCCTACTATTTTAGACATATCATTGTAGCAGATTCGTCAGTTGAGTTAGTCTGTGTTTGCATTAGAGGCATCTATACCATTCATATTTAGCTATGCTTGTTTTACCTTCACTGCAGATCTGTAGAACTATACCAGTCTTTGTGAAAATTAAGCTGGTATCATGGCACAGTAGATAAAACAAATTATCTCTCATCTTTACAGCTACAAAAAGTCCATTGTTGCAGCACATAAGACAATAAAAATGTACCAAAAGCACAGAGTTTACATTACGATTTATATTATTAATGAAGTGACTTTTATCTTACATGAGTTTCAGACCCCACTCTCT